TGAGTCCAATAAAATAATAACTAGAATCATATTAACCAATAATAGAGAATTATTTCAATTTATAAACAGAAACATAAGAAGATTGTTTAAATAATTTCAGTAATTTAACAACATAAATTTTTAATTGAAAACTTAACTGGATTGAGAAATCTGATTGATTTTATTTTGAATTCTAAATAGGATCAATCTGGCTTTTAATAAGAGAAAAGTGGTTTATAAAGTATTCATTCATCAAAAATTGAATAATCAATACATAATTAATAAAAAATTCCTGAAATTTCATTACTCGAGCAAAAGAGATTTCCAAATGGTGCCAATCGCCTTTTAGAAGAGTAAAATAAGAGTCTAAAGTTATTTGATAATACATTAATCTTAATAAAGTGATTCATCTTAAGTAAATTAAATAGAAAAATAGAATGAATCAGTTGATATATCAAATTAGAGTTATTATTCGGATATAAACGCTAAGCATACAATATTGAGATGGATTTATAAAGTTTTCGATAATAAAAATGAGTCTAACATATATTCAATATTATGATGACTATTTAATTCTGATATTAGCATTTTGAATGCTATATCGTAAAGAAAAGGTTTTGATTGTTTGAATTTGGAGATTTGAAAAGTAGTGATGTCTAACTGACTTAGTCTTATCTGCAGTTCTATCTAGACTACATTTAAATAATTGTTCATTATTTCTAATTCTAAATTAATTGAGAAGCACATGAGGTAATTCTTTTTTTTTCATACTTCTAGTTGTTAATGCATTTCTATCATATAAGCAACTAACTTTGTATGAATTGATTTAATGATTGCTGGAACTTCAATTTTCTTTTAAGAATGATCCTTCCAATATTTCACTGTTGACATTATCATTGAAGCTCTCTTTACAGCCTTTCTCAGTGTAGCTTTATAGTCTATCTTTGATTTTTAAATTGCATGTTGCGTACAAATAGATTGAGAGTATATACAATTTAATTTATTCATTTTCTCTCCTGAAATACCTTCTTAATAACTTTTTCTTCGTTATAATATTAGGAACAAATGATGTATTCTTATTTCGATTCTGTTGAGTCAATGTGACTAATAATGAATTACGTTTCTCATTCACCATTTTATAACAACTACTACTTTTATTATGATTATGATTTATGTCTACTTCTGATAGATATTCTTATTGGTTTTTCATTTTCTTTTTTATAATATAATATGCTAAAACTATATTATTATGATTATTTAAATCAATTTTGAATAATCTGAATATATAAATCATTTTATACAAACTAATAACCGTTAATTGATTTTTTTATATTCAATACGTTTATTACAAACGCTTCTTTTCTTATCTTTTTGTGCTGATTTTTATCAGTCTTTATCCTTAATTTAATAAAATTAATATATTTAATTCTATTGTTTTACTTCTTACATTTTTATTGCATTTTATTGTTTTATTTCCTTGAGTGTTAAGTTATTCAATATATTTTTACATTTATTTAATTCATCTAAATTCTTTATTACAATAGATTTATTATGTAATTCATACATATCCAAAAAAACAAATGAATCTCTCATTTAATTAGTCCATTCAATTTTATCTTAATTACGAATTCTCATTATTTTATTATCACTTTTATTATCTGTCTACCATTCTATAGTCCTTCTTTTAATTAAGAATAATTTCAATTTAAAATGGAATTATTAAGTGAAATCTTAAAGGAAATCCATTAAATCAATTTTACTGTAAGTATATATATGTGGAATAGAATATATATTTAAATCAGGGTCCTAATATAATGCAAGAACAATACTTTCCATTTTAATCCAATAGATTCTTTTAATTCTCTACAAGTTTCTGTAAGTATTTTCTATTTTTAAATAGAAGCTGCAGGATATATTGAAGGTAACAAATATGTTTTTGTAATTTCTTTGAATTTATGTTCATCAAAATCATAATTAAAATAGATCTATTTAATTAATTCAAACTGAAATGGTTCACCTGGATGATATTTAGATAATATCTAAGGAAAACGGGCACTCTTAAACAATTATTTAAAATCTTTGTATTGTACATAACTGATTGTCTCACTTGATTAAAATATTTGTTATTGCATTATTTGATATTTTGTTAATGTAGGTTTAGGAGTTTATGGTTTATTCTTACTGATATATGATGAATAATGGATATGTAATTCTTTAAGTAATTTCTTCTCATATTTAATTGCTTTAGATTTTTATGAACTAATATCATCAAATTCTTCACAAATTTAATCTGGTTTTTTGGATACATAAAATTCAGGTGTTTCTGCTCTGATTACTTTACCTTATGGATCAATAATAATGAATAGATCTTCTTTAGTTTATTCTTCAATATGAAATACTTGGTTAGAATTGAAATCTATAATTTGTAATATAGTATAATACATTAATGATGTTCAGATACATTTTCGCTTATATCTATGAATTTTATATGCCATCCATATTTATTTATAAATTTTAATAAATCTGCATATTTGTGTGTTGAAGTCCAATCTATTAAACCATAAAATTCAAATTGAGCAAATTTAAATATTTTAGATATCTTAATAGTGTAGATTTATTAGAATTTATAGAATTGTTTAAGACTTTGCAACTTATACAATTACAATTGCAAAAAAAAAGTGTATTTTCCATTATTGCTAAAATTGATTAATTATGATTATTTGACATCCACAAATTTCACAAATATCTATTGGGGAAAGAAATCATTTTTCATTAAAGCTGTATGTATAGTAGCTTAAGTAATAGCAGGTTTAAAATTTCTAAGAGGTCTCAACAAAATTATAGATTCTGGATGTGAATCCAAGAATGAATGTATATAATTTCTAGATTCTAAATTACTTTTCATCCATTTATCTACACTCTTTATAATTCTCTTTTTCTATAATATCCATTCCTTTCTCTACTTGATGTAACAATAATTATAAACAGATGTGTAGATGATAATAGTATCAACAAACTATCCCTCTGCTAATTAATCCAATAACATATACAAATTATCAGATGACGCCTTTTCATCATTCAAAAGACGACTACCTAAACATCCCATCAAATAATAAAAATTTAATTTTTTTTCACATTCCCTTATAATCATAAATAAATGGATCCAGTTCCCCCTAAAGTTATAGTTGATATTCCTAAATTCACAGTAATGGGAATTAGCAGAAGAGTTCATTTTGCAAGTGAGGCCAATCCTGATACAAATGTGTATATAAGAACTTTCAAAGAATATTTTGAAAAGAAGATTAGTGATACAATCCCTAATCGTGCAATTCCAGGAAGAACTTATTGTCTTTATTATGATTTTCAAGATGTGTAAGATAAATCGAAATTTACTTTATCTATATTGGTTGGGGAATTAGTCACAAAGGTTGATTAGATACCTGAAGGTTTGGATATTTTTGAGGTTCAGGATGCAACATATGTATGTTTCAAAGGAGGTCCAGGAGCCATACCAGAAGCTGCCAGAGATACTTGGAAGAAATTGTATCTTATCAAGTTGGATGAGTGGGGATACAAAAGAAGTTATAAAACAGAATTTGAGTTGTATAGAGAAGGTTAAAATGATATTGGAAATATGGAAGTTGAATTGCACATTGGAATATAACAGATATAAAATTGATTTTTATTTATGGTTATTATAGTGTAATATCAATATAGTATTTATTAATAATGTGTTCAACATATATGGAATAAATGTGTTTATAAGAGGAAATTGCTATTTTTATTTTACAAATAAATAAATTAAAGGTTTTCAAATGGATCATCCAGTTAAAGTAAATCCAAGAACTACTGTTCAATTAGATTCATTCACTTTAGTAGGCATTCAAAGAACAATTATTCAAAAAGATGAAATCGACCCATAGACTGGACAAATTGGAAAGGCATTTGAAGAATATTATGGAAAATAGCTCCATGATAAAATACCAAATCGTTTACATCCTATGAGAACACATTGTTTATATTTTGGATATTCTAACGCTTAGAATTGGTAAGAGATGAAGTACAATATGGTTTTGGGAGAAATAGTAAGTGATGCCACAAATGTACCTGAAGGAATGGTAAGTGTACAAGTACCAGCTCATCGTTTCTGTAGATTCGATTGTGGTCCTGGTTCTATTCCAGGAGTAGTAATAGATGCTTGGTAATCATTGTGCTAATTGACTCCAGAAGACTTTGGAGGAGTACGTACTCATGATTATGAATTAGAAGTATATCCAGAAGATTAGTTTGATAAAAATAACATGAAATTTTTATTATACATTGGAATATAATGATATAATAATAATGATATAATGATCATAATTAAATTAATAATAATCATATTTATATTAATAATAGTAAAATATAGAATAGAAATACTAATCTTTTTTATTATTTAGATTATATTGTAAGAAATTATTCAAATACTTAGTTTACTATATTTTTTGTATTTTCTCATTCATGTTTATATTTAGGAATCTAATTGGAAAATATTCTAAATATTTATTTATTCAATGTAGAAACAATGATATATTATAAATTGAATGAAAAAAGATTGTAAGAATTCAACAAATTATAAGCATCTTAGTCAATAGTATTTAAATTTATTAATTATACATAATCTAANTAAATATAGAATAGAAATTCTAATCTTTTATTATTTCATTGATATTGTAAGAAAATATTCAAATATTTAGTTTACTTCATTTTTCATATTTGTTATTTATATTGAACAAAATACTTTAACTATTCAAAATATATATTAGAAAACAGTGATTTATTTTATAAATTGAGTGGAAAAAGATTGTAAGAGTTCAACAAATTATTAGCTTCCTAGTCAAGAGTAATTAAATTAAATTAATTGTATTATCTAATATTAATATGATTTAGTTATATAAATAATAAATGATTATTAAGATATATATAATAAATAAATGTCAATTCAATCTAATATAAAGGCTAACCAATCTTTATCAGATTTTTAAAGATCAGCTGATAAATTAGGTTATTTAATTAGTTTGATTCTGATTTATTTTTCCAATATACATTATCTTGATGTAAAACCTATATTTACTAAAAAATGTTTTCGCTTTAATATGATGATTTTGATCTATCATTAACAATTGCCTTCTTATTTATATGACAAATCTTATTAAGTATAATTTTAGCATATTATTGAGTAGGAGTAATATAATGCAAATCAAATATTGGTTATTTGGTATAAAAATTCTTTTGTTTAGAGAAACGTGGTTTAAATGAGAATGGTTATTAATCAGAAATTAAAAGATTGGCTAATTCATTTGATTTATGTCTCATTAATATTAAAATATTTATAAAATTGTCAAGTGGTGGTAAGAGTTAAGATAATTGAAAAGTGAGTTATGAGTAGATTGGTAGATCACCTAAACTAAGAGCATGACAGTGAAGATGAGGGAATAGAAGATTATAAGATTGGAGGTTTGTTTAATATGACTATCAGAAAGGATATCATCCAGTTCATATTGGGGAAGTGTTACTTAATCGTTATGTTGTCATCCAGAAATTAGGTTGGGGACACTTCTCGACTGTGTGGTTAGCAAAGGATTTCAAATATGATACATATGTGGCACTAAAAATTCAGAAGAGTGCATCACATTATTTTTAAGCAGCTTATCATGAAGTAAAATTTATGATTCATATTTAGGTGAAGATCTTGTAGAAAGTAGCATAGAATGTATAAATCCTGTTTGGATATAATCATTAAAAGAATATTATGCAGAAGTATAAGTTTCATATAATAAATATAAGGAAGGACGTACTCATTTCAATTGAGATGATACTCATATAGTTTAATTATTAAATTCATTTGTCTACAAAGGACCTTATGGACATCATTTTTGTATGGTTTTTGAGATTTTGAGTGTGAATCTCTTAGAAATAATAAAAAATTACAATTACAAAGGAGTGTAATGATTGAATATTAAGTTAGTGTCCAATGTGAGAAAAATGACTAAATAGATATTGATTGGTTTGGATTACCTACATAGAATTTTTGGTGTCATTCATACTGATTTGAAACTAGAGAATGTGTTATTATGTTTATCAGAGGAAGAAATTAAAGATATTGTAGAGAATGGGCAATTGACATAGAATCAACTATTTTCAGATAGAATTCATATTTATAGAAAGATGTTGGGTATAATTTAGGATGAGTAGAAGAAGGAAGAAGAGGAGGATCAAGAAGAAGAAGATACTTAGATGAGTAAGACTTAGATAAGGAAATTACAAAGAAAAAAGAAGAAGAAACATGTGAATTAATAAGAAGAAGAGGAAATGCCTAAGTCAATTAAGAATTTATTTAAATAGAACAATCAAAAAAGTAATAATAAATTATTAAATTGAAAGGATATCATTTAAGACTTAGAAACCTTTTCCTAATAATTTCAGAGCAAAAATTGCAGATTGGGAAATGCACATTGGATTCATCATCATTTTTCAACATTAATATAAATAAGATAATATAGATCTCCTGAAGTATTATTGGGAATAAAGTATAATCCAACAGCAGACATATGGAGTTTTGCATGCATGATATTTGAAATGCTTACAGGAGATTATTTATTTGAACCTAAACTAGGGCCCAATTTTCAAAGAATGAAGATCATTTAGCTTAGATTCAAGAATTATTGGGTAAATTTCCTTATGACTATGGAACATGAGGAGCAAAAGCTAAAGTATGAATATAAATTAAATAAATCGATACCCTTCTCAGAATGGAGTAATGAAGAGAATTCAACATTTACATTTCTGGAATTTATATATTGTTTTGTCTGAGAAATATAGATTCAAGAATTAAGAAGCTTTGTCATTCTTTTCATTTATTTACCAATGTTATATTAGATGCCAGAGTATCGTACAACTGCTTAGGAAACACTTAAGAGAGAATTATGTTGTAATGTGAGTAGCGAATATGTATTGAAACGTTATATAGATCAAGTGTTCCAATTCTAAAATTTTAGAGAATATATTCCTCCTTCAGGATGGTTTAAATAGAAGACTGATGAGAAGATTGGTCATAAGATGAGTGAAGAGGAATACAAGAAATACACTGCTCATAAGAGGATTAATTAAGAGTAGGAAGAATTAGAATAAGGTTAAATTAGTGAAGGGATTCAGCCAACTTTATTGACTAATTATAGAAGAGTATAAATATTAAGTATTAGTAGGCATCTACAAGATCTTATGATGGATCAACTTCATTAACTCCTGAAGTAGAAGTTCTACCAAAGAAACAAGGGAAGTATGTTGATCATCGTGTGATTGATAGATCATTCACTGATTTAGGATACATAGGATATGGAGAAGGAATTAATTTGGAATAATTAGATAGTACAGGAAATTGGTAATTTAGTTGAGTATTAAAGACACATATATTGATTTGAAAGATTATTAATTATTTTAATGAGTTGTATTTCTGTTAAGAAGCATGTTAATTATGGTGAAGTGATTCTAATAGTTGGAGATTGTCATAAAATATAATGGAATGTATAGAATGGAATTTAAATGTAATGGAATTAAGATGATATCTGGAGTGTAACACTGGACTCCTGTTGTTTACCTATGAATTATCGTTATGTAGTTGTTAAGTAAGACAACAGATAGATTGTAGAATGGGAAGATGGAATAAATAGAGTGTTTAATTTTCATCAAGATGTTTAAGATATATGGGGTCATCTTAGAATTACTATAAAATTCATGAATTATCTACATTCTAACATAAAATTCAATCTATATACATAAACTGGAAGACATAAGATTCCACTAAATAGAATTGAGAGAGAATATACATCTACATTTCAGATCCCGAATAAATCTATTCATTAATTGGCCTACAAATACTAATCTAATGAAAAGTGGGAAAGAGGTGGTGTACGAATGATCCATTCTCATTCAATAATTAATAATGTAATTCATGTGATTGACTCTGATGTTGATTTCAATCTTAATTATAATCGTATTTTTGAAAACCTATACGTTGGTTCATTTATTTATATAGAGTAATTATAATTATTAATATAATAGTGAAATCCGCATTCTATAAGATTTGGGTGTAAATGCTATACTAAATTTGTAAACTGTTGAAGATTTAATAAACAAGGATTTATCTGAAGATTATTTTGATCAACTTAAATCTTAAAGTCAATCATTTGGTATTATCTATTAACATTGTCCAATAAAAGATTGTAATAAGAGATCATATCTATAAAATGGAATTAATGCTTATTAAATTCTCAAAAATTTATTGGATGAAGGTAAATGCGTATATGTACATTGTACAGATGGAATTTAAAGGAGTGTTTAAACTATTATATTATATATGGTTTAGGATTTAAATTACTCTCTCGAATAGGCCATTGAATTAGTTTAAGTCATTAGACCAAGATCAAAACCTATTCTTGAAGTACTTTAAAAACTCTTAAATCTTTGATATCTAAATTTTTATGTAATCATCATTTTATTAATAATAAATTAATTTCATTTAATAACTAATTCTCTATTTCTATTTGTTTTGAATTTACCCATTTCCCATTAATATAATTAAATCGTTATGGTCCACTAATTGGAGATGAGTACCATAATTATTTATTTGGTGTTTATCTATTAATAACAAATGATTTCCCATTTTATAAATGAATATTAAGTACACCATCTGACAATGAAGTTTCCACATTCTCAAAATTCTCAATCTTATCATTTAATGTCTTTTATAATATATTATTTATTATTATTACACTTAATTAAAGATTGCTTAGTTTTAGGAATTGTGTGGTAGTAAATTCTGTGCAAAACTTAAATGTTCTTAACATTTTTATTATTATTTAATTTTTAATTTTAAACATATTGCAGAGTATTTCAATTTCAAATTACAAATAATCCCCTCAATCTATATTGAATTCTCTACAATCATAAATTGTTATTAGATAAGTCAATCTAAATTCAGGAATCAAATCTTCAGACAATAATCAAGTGAATCTAAACGATTACATTCAGAATATAATTTTGATTTATAATGTATCTTATTAATATCTATATTCAGTGTCTGTAAGTAGTGAGAATTCTAAATAGCGTTCCAATCCAATTTTATCAAATAGACCCTCTATTACAAGATAATTATCACACAATTAATCTATCATTGATACTATTAATTAGAAGATTGTTTCAGAAACTAAAGAGAATAGATTTGTTTCTATTAATTAAAATGAGTAAGCATCTGATTTTAATTAAAAAACTCTAAAGAATAACATACTCTAATTAATTAATAAAATATGGTTACTATTTTGATAGATGAAAATTAAAAACTCATTTTTATTAATGAGTAATTAATGTAAGGGTTAGAGAAAGCTAAAATTGCTTATGAAACCAATAATCAGACTGGATTATTATAATCATTATAAAGAGATACATAATCACTCTAATAAACTGTATTATATTACAAGAAAATTAATAATTAATAATCTTAACAAATCTTAGAATTATAATACATATTAAATGAGAGAGAAGAATTAAATATTGAATAGAAATATATAACTAATTATTAATTAATAGAATCATAATAAACAAATAAGATATTCATAGAATAATTTTTATAATTGGAATAAAAATATTTATTAAAATATTTTGAATTAGATTGAAAACAAATTGTTGAAAAAGGATGGTCAGATAAAATTGATATTTTATAAAATGAGAATAAGAATTTGAATCAAATGTTACAATAACGATTGAATGATTAGATACAAATATAATAATAGTATAAATAATAAAATTAAATCATTATCAAATTAGAATAAAAAATAGCTATACTATAATAATAACATAAAGAATAGAATTATTTTATAACAAAAAAGAATTAAGATCAAATCCAAATTATTTCAAATCTGAACTGAATAAATAATACGAATAAAGAAATGAAGAAAATAAGAAATTAAATGAATTATTAAAATAATAAGAATATAAATGGNATTTAATTTATTCCTCCGTTTTAAAAGGAATTGTAGAAATTCAATTTGTATTATGATGGATGGTAATAGTAGAAGTAAACTGACCTAGATCTACATTTCTGAGTTATCTCAGTTTGATTTATTAATAGAAAATTAATGCCATTAGCCAAATATTTACCCTTATGTTGTAATCTAGCATCCTACTGTATTAGAGGACTCCACTATATCAGAAACTGATGCTTTGACACAGAGATCATATTCATCTCTTTACTTTACAATTATACCAGAATAGCAGATTGGCTATTGGAAATGTAAGCATGAGGTCTCAGAAAAATGAGTCCTCTTTAAATTTCACTTGGCTAATGTAAAAACTCTATAAAAAGAATAATGTTGTATTAGATCTATCTTTTTATTAATAAAATAATTAGAATTATTGTGCACCTATTTTTATTTTATTTTCTAATTACAGATATGCAGCAGGATCAAAAAAGGTTGAATTTAAAAAATTTAATCTCGATATATTTAAGAATAGAAATTAAAAAATCTTAAAATTAATATCGATTAACTTATCGTGATTAAAGATAATTATTTCAAATAAGAAGGTATATTCATTATTAGAAATTTTATGTCTCATAAATGTTGCATATGATATGAAAAACAATTTTAAATACATTTGCAATTGTCTCATCCTTAAGAAAAAGACAAACCAATATAGCTGAAATAATTAAACTGGTAAATTAATTCTATTTGTCAAAAGAATTTTATAAAAAATTTATGGTATGTAGAGGACTTTACATTATTTCATATTGGTTTCAAAAACCATGGAA